AGAGCACTGGAGGAGAGAGGAGGCTGAGGAGAGATATAGAGCACTGGAGGAGAGAGAAGGCTGAGGAGAGATATAGAGCACTGGAGGAGAGAGGAGGCTGAGGAGAGATATAGAGCACTGGAGGAGAGAGGAGGCTGAGGAGAGATATAGAGCACTGGAGGAGAGAGGCGGCTGAGGAGAGATATAGAGCACTGGAGGAGAGAGGAGGCTGAGGAGAGATATAGAGCCCTGGAGGATAGAGGAGGCTGAGGAGAGATGAGTTACATTGTAAAGGCTCCTTTTGGACGTTACGTATTTATCCCCAAAAAGAGCCAATAAAACAGATATTCAGGGTATCAATCCAATTCTATTCCTTTCTAGGGCAGTGTGGCTGTCAATACATAAAAGGACCAAAGGGTCTCCACATAGGCAAATAAATGCTTCTGTATGGTATAATCTTGGTATTTGTGTGGGGAAGCAGTCAATAATTTGGGGAAAATGGGTAAGAGAAGGGGTTTATACTCATTTAAAGAAATGGGGGAAAAGTCTTAAGTGTGTGATATTGTAAGTCGCTCTGGATAAGAGCGTCTGCTAAATGACTTAAATGTTAAAATATAATGATGTAATGGCGATGCAGAATATGCTAATAAAAAGCTGTGTGTCAACACTAGGTGGTGCCATTATGCCAAAAGGCAACACTGTTGTAGATTTGTCTTCACAACCTTGGATTCGATGTAGTGTACCTAGATCAGCAAGACTGTGTCGGTCGAGAGACATGTCTGAAATAAGAGGGATTAACCAGACAGAATTTAAAATATGATGTTGAGGTATTGTGTCAGTGTTAAGGCTGGTCCTGAAACATTGGAAAAGCTTTAATGAGCCAGTGTTCACGGAGTGGATGAATACGTTGCTAAAAACAACATTGTATGAAATCATGTTAGCAAAGAGGCAAGAGAAAAATAAATAGAGACGCCAAAAAGATAGTGGAACGATTCTTGTGTTTCCTTAATGGTAACATAAAATAATATCATGACCATGAAATAGCATATAATTTATCAGGAAAAAAATCTCTCAATGTATTTGTATTTGTGTGATGAAAAAATATATATACATTGTCTATACAAAAAAAAAATGAAATGCCATTCTGAGTCTAAATTCATATGCTGTTTGTTATAAAAAGGTTTATAATATGACAAGAACTAGTAGTTGGATCATTCCACGAAATGAGTGTCTTTTGCATCCCTTTGATATTTTATGTATAATTTAAAATTCCTGTTATATTAAATGAAGTGCCCTTTAATATAGACCACATGGAGAATGTAATAAACTTTTAATATGAATAAAGGCTTGCTAAAATTCTGCATTTTAACATGTCCCTCTGTCAACCCCGTGTCACTTCTAGGAAGATTTCAACACAATCCAAAAATGTCTCCAAGTTTTACCATAATAGTAAAGCCCTAGTTATTTTGTTGCTTTGACAAAGTCATTTCTGAAGGTTATTATTTATTTCATGTGATTAGTGATTCATTTACATCTGCCCTTCATTTTAAGGTCAACCCTGTTACGTGAACTGAACTCTCATTTTAATATGGGGATACTATTCCTTTTTAAATATGTAATAGTCAAATCATAGTGTAAAAGCTGGTTCTATTCTTTTTGGCAATATTCTGGTGTTTTGTGGTGGAAAACTGAATGGGTCGAGCATAACACGTCAACCCTGTTACCCATAGATAGACAGGCTAGAAATGTTTTAGAAATGTACTTTTTTTTGTGAAGCTTGCATTCAATTGCAGTGGTGTAAAGTACTTAAGTAAAAATACTTTCAAGTACTACTTTTTCACATTTACGTCAGTTAGCAGACGCTCTTATCCAGAGCGACTTACAAATTGGTGCATTCAACTTAGGATAGCCAGTGGGACAACCACCACTGGGGGAGGGGGAGTGTAGAAGGATTATTGTTAGACTATTCCAGGTATTCCATAAAGAGGTAGGGCTTCAAGTGTTTGAGTGGGAGCAGAGTGAGTAGTGTTGGAGGAGAGCGAGAGAGAAAAGGATACAAAGTAGTGGTCGGAGACTTGGAGGGGAGTTCCAGTGAGATTAGTAGAAGAACAGCATCTAGTAAAGATGAGGTCAAGCGTATTGCCTGCCTTGTGAGTAGGGGGGGACGGTGAGAGGGTGAGGTCAAAAGAGGAAAGGAGTGGAAAGGAGGCAGAGAGAAATGAGTCAAAGGCTGACGTAGGGAGGTTAAAGTCACCCAGAACTGTGAGGGGTGAACCATCCTCAGGAAAGGAACTTATCAAGGCGTCAAGCTCATTGATGAACTCTCCAAGGGAACCTGGAGGGCGATAAATGATAAGGATGTTAAGCTTGAATGGGCTAGTGACTGTGACAGCATGGAATTCAAATGAGGAGATAGACAGATGGGTCAGGGGGAAAAGAGAGAATGTCCACTTGGGAGAGATGAGGATTCCTGTGCCACCGCCGCGCTGACCAGATGCTCTCGGGGTATGCGAGAACACATGATCAGACGAGGAAAGAGCAGTAGGAGTAGCAGTGTTTTCTGTGGTAATCCATGTTTCCGTCAGCGCCAAGAAGTGGAGGGACTGGAGGGTAGCATAGGCTGAGATTAACTCTGCCTTGTTGGCCACAGAACGGCAGTTCCAGAGGCTGCCGGAGACCTGGAACTCCACGTGGGTCGTGCGCGCAGGGACCACCAGATTAGAGTGGCAGCAGCCAGTCGGTGTGAAGCGTTTGTATGGCCTGTGCAGAGTGGAGAGAACAGGGATAGACAGACACATAGTTGACAGGCTACAGAAATGGCTACAATAATGCAAAAGAGATCGGAATAAAATTAACTAAACATCTAGTAGTTATTTATATTTAGGGTATCTGTACTTTACGTTTATTTTTTGACAACTTTTACTTCACTACATTCCTAAAGAGAACAATGTACTTTTTACTCCATATATTTTCTTGTTACATTTTGAATGCATAGCAGGACAGGAAAATGGTCCAATTCAAGAGAACACGTGGTCATCCCTACTGCCTCTGATCTGGCGGACTCACTAAACAAAAATGCATTGTTTGTAAATGATGTCTGAGTGTTGGAGTGTGCCCCTGACTATCCGTAAATTTTCGAAACAATAAAATGGTGCCATCTGGTTTGCTTAATATAAGGAATTTGAAATGATTTATACTTTTACTTTTGATACTTAGGTATATTTTAGCAATTACATTTACCTTTGATACTTAAGTATATTTAGAACTAAATACTTTTAGACTTACTCAATGTCACGATCGTCTAGAACAGATGAAGAGGACCAAGGCGCAGCGTTGCAGGCAAACATACTCTTTAATAGAAACACGATCAAAACAATAAACGATACGTGACAGTTCACGGTCAAACATAAACAGATTTGAAACAAAATCCCACAAACACGAAAGAAAAACCGACTGTTTAAATATGGCTCCCAATCAGAGACAACCAGCTGACAGCTGACACTCGTTGCCTCTGATTGGGAGTCACTCAGGCCAACATAGAAATAAGCAAACTAGACCCACATCCTACAACACAAAACATAGAAACTAACACCCTGGCTCAACATAAGAGAGTCCCCCGAGCCAGGGCGTGACAGTACCCCCCCCTAAAGGCGCGGACTCCGACCGTGCCAACCAAACACAACAGGGGAGGGACCGGGTGGGCACTCCGCCTAGGCGGCGGATCCGGCTCCGGGCATGATCCCCACTCGCTCTCTAACCCCCCAAAGTACCCCTGGTCCGGTCTGGCCCTGCTGACCGGAGCTGGACTGCACACTGGTGGAGCGGATTGCTCTAGCTCCGGCGTAACGCATCTGACCGGCGCCGGACCAGGCACCAGTGGAACAGGCACGTGCCGTGCCGGACCGACGACGCACACCACTGGCTTGGTGTGGGGAACAGGCACGGGCCGTGCTGGACTGACGACGCACACCACTGGCTTGGTGCGGGGAGCAGGAACGGGCCGAGCCGGGCTGGCGACGCGCACCACAGACTTGGTGCGGAGAGCAGGAACGGGCCGGACAGGGCTGACGAAACGCACCACAGACTTGGTGCGGGGAGCAGGAACAGGCCGGACCCTACTGGGGACACACACCACTGGTCCTACGCCGGGATCTGGAATGGGCCGGACCGGACTGGTAACACACCCCAGTACCTCTCGCCGTGCCTCTACACCTTCCACCCCCTCTTCGGCCAGTGGCCCCCGTAACCTGGCGGCCTCCTCTGCCAACCCGCTGGACCGCTCTATCTCGGCCTCCTGCTGCCCCGACGTCGTGAGCCCCCCCCTAAAAAATTTCTGGGGGTCTCTCCTCCCTGTGGGCCAGGCCTCTATAGTTCTCGCCCAACTCTCGCTCTTCTGCTTCCAACTCCCGCTATTCAGCTCCTCAATTGGCTTGACCCAGTCAAAACTCTTCCTCCATTGTTCCCAAGTCCACTCTCTCCGCTCTTCAATCGGCTTGACCCAGTCGAGGCTGCCACGGAGATCTGCTAGGGATTTCCCTGGCGATGGCTCCTCGACTCGCTGCTTGGTCCAGTTGTGGTGGGATTTTCTGTCACGATCGTCTAGAACAGATGAAGAGGACCAAGGCGCAGCGTTGCAGGCAAACATACTCTTTAATAGAAACACGATCAAAACAATAAACGATACGTGACAGTTCACGGTCAAACATAAACAGATTTGAAACAAAATCCCACAAACACGAAAGAAAAACCGACTGTTTAAATATGGCTCCCAATCAGAGACAACCAGCTGACAGCTGACACTCGTTGCCTCTGATTGGGAGTCACTCAGGCCAACATAGAAATAAGCAAACTAGACCCACAACCTACAACACAAAACATAGAAACTAACACCCTGGCTCAACATAAGAGAGTCCCCCGAGCCAGGGCGTGACACTCAAGTAGTATTTTACTGGGTGACTTTCACTTTTACTTGAGTAACTTTCTATTAAAAGGTATCTATACTTTTACTCAAGTATGACAATTGGGTACTTTTTCCACCACTGTTCAATTTATTCAAAAAAAGTAATACAAAATTATACTCCTCAAAAGGCACCGAATTGATGGAATGACCCAGTTGGTTAAATGTTTTTCACAGTGAGGTGGACATGGACAGGATGTCACTTCATGATGATTCGTGTCTTCTCATCTCCAAGCACAAGTCTGGAAAAGGAAAGGGGTCTTTTAGTCACAACATAAATTAACAACACGGATAAAGATATCACACTAGCAGTATAAGGTGTAGTGCGGGCCAACCAGGAGATATTACACTAGCAGTATAAGGTGTAGTGCGGGCCAACCAGGAGATATTACACTAGCAGCATAAGGTATTGTGGGGGCCAACCAGGAGATATTACACTAGCAGTATAAGGTATAGTGCGGGCCAACCAGGAGATATCACACTAGCAGCATAAGGTGTTGTGGGGGCCAACCAGGAGATATTACACTAGCAGTATAAGGTGTTGTGGGGGCCAACCAGGAGATATCACACTAGCAGTATAAGGTGTAGTGCGGGCCAACCAGGAGATATCACACTAGCAGTATAAGGTGTTGTGGGGGCCAACCAGGAGATTTCACACTAGCAGTATAAGGTGTTGTGGGGGCCAACCAGGAGATATCACACTAGCAGTATAAGGTGTTGTGGGGGCAAACCAGGAGATATCACACTAGCAGCATAAGGTATTGTGGGGGCAAACCAGGAGATATTACACTAGCAGCATAAGGTGTTGTGGGGGCAAACCAGGAGATATCACACTAGCAGTATAAGGTGTAGTGCGGGCCAACCAGGAGATATCACACTAGCAGTATAAGGTATTGTGGGGGCAAACCAGGAGATATCACACTAGCAGCATAAGGTATTGTGGGGGCAAACCAGGATGCCAAGACTACAACCAAGATCGAGGACGACCACATCCTCACATATTTTTGCTTAATATGATAAGCCTGCCTAATATACCTGCCTAATGTACAAAAATATAAACGCAACATGCAACAATTTCAAATAGTTTACTGAGTTACAGTTCATATAAGGAAATCAATCAATAACAATTGAAATAAATTAATTAGGCCCGAATCTATGGATTTCACATGACTGGGAATACAGATATGCATCTGTTGGTCACAGATACCTTAAGAAAATTGGTAGGGGTGTGGATCGGAAAACCAGTCAGTATCTGGTGTGACCACCGTTTCGCGACACATCTCCTTAGCATAGAGTTGATCAGGCTGTTGATTGTGGGCTGTGGAATGTTGTCCCACTCCTCTTCAATGGCTGTGCGAAGTTGCTGGATATTGGTGGGAACTGAAACACGCTGTCGTACACGTTGATCCAGAGCGTCCCAAACATGCTCAATGGGTGACATGTCTGGTGAGTATGCAGGCCATGGAAGAACTTGAACATGTTCAGCTTCCAGGAATTGTGTACAGATCCTTGCAACATGGGGCCGTGCATTATCATGCTGAAACGCATTACATGGATTGCATACCTACAGGTACGCTACGGTCACAAGACACAGGCCTCCTTATTGTCCCTAGAATTTCTAAGCAAAGAGCTGGAGGCAGGGCTTTCTCCTATAGAGTTAAATTTTTATGGAATGGTCTGCCTATGTGAGGGACGCAGACTCGGTCTCGACCTTTAAGTCTTTACTGAAGACTCATCTCTTCAGTAGGTCCTATGATTGAGTGTAGTCTGGCCCAGGGGTGCGAAGGTGAACGGCAAGGCACTGGAGTGACGAACCGCCCTTGCTGTCTCTGCCTGGCCGGCTCCCCCTCTCTCCCCTGGGATTATCTGTCTCTGACCCTATTACGGGGGCTGAGTCACTGGCTTACTAGTGCTCTTCCATGCCGTCCCTGGGAAGGGTGCGTCACTTGAGTGGGTTGAATCACTGACGTGATCTTCCTGTCCGGTTTTGCGCCCCCTCGGGCTTGTGCAGTGGAGGAGATCTTTGTGGGCTATACTCAGCCTTGTCTCAGGGTAGTAAGTTGGTGGTCTGTTGATATCCCTCAGTCTAGTTTGCGCTGTTATGTTGTTAATTCTTTCCAATGTGTCAAGTAATTATCTTTTTGTTTTCTCATGATTTGGTTGGGTCTAATTGTGTTGCTATCCTGGGGCTCTGTGGGTCCTGTTTGTGTTTGTTAACAGAGCCCCAGGACCAGCTTGCTTCTCCAGGTTCATCTTTCTGTAGGTGATGGCTTTGTTCTGGAAGGTTTGGGAATCGCTTCACTTTAAGTAGTTGTAGGCTCTTTTCTGGATTTTGATCATTAGCGGGTATCGGCCTAATTCTGCTCTGCATGCATTATTTGGTGTTTTACGTTGTACACAGAGGATATTTTTGCAGAATGCTGCATGCAGAGTCTCAATTTGGTGTTTGTCCCATTGTGTGAATTATTGGTTGGTGAGCGAACCCCAGACCTAACAACCATAAAGGGCAATGGGTTCTATAACTGATTCAAGTATTTTAGCCAGATCCTAATTGGTATGTCAAATTTTATGTTCCTTTTGATGCAAGCATAGAAGGCCCATTCTTGCCTTGTCTCTAAGATCGATCACCGCTTGTGGAAGCTACCTGTGGCGCTGATGTTTAGGCCGAGTATTTTATAGTCTCTCTCTCTCTCTTCTCTCTCTCTCTCGCTGCTCTCTCCAGCTCTCTCTCTCTCTCTCTCTCTCTCTCACTCTCGTCTCTTCCTCTCTCTCTCGCTCACGGCCTCTCTCTCTCGTCTCTCTCTCCCCATCTCTCTCCCCCCTCGGTCTGGTTCTTCTCCTTCTCTCTTCTCTCATCTCTCTCTCGTAAAAAGGGCTTATATAAATACATTTGATTTGAAACAGAGTGATGGCGGCGTTGCATTGGCATTCAAATTGACATAGATAAATTGCATTGTGTTCATTATCCATATCTTATGCCTGTCCATACCATAACCCCAACGCCACCATGGGGCACTCAGAACTTTGAACATTGACATCAGCAAACCGCTCGCCCACATGACGCCATACACGCTTTCTGCCATCTGCCCGGTACAGTTAAAACCGGGATTCATCTGTGAAGAGCACCCTTCTCCAGCGTACCAGTGGCAATGGAAGGTGAGCATTTGCCCACTGAACTTGGTTACAACACCGAACTGCAGTCAGGTCAACACCCTGGGGAGGACGATGAGCACGCAGATGAGCTTCCCTGAGACGGTTTCTGACAGTTTGTGCAGAAATTATTTGGTTGTGCAAACCCACAGTTCTATCAGCTGTCCGGGTGGCTGGTCTCAGACGATCCCGCAGGTGAAGAAGCCGTATGTGGAGGTCCTGCGCTGGCGTTGTTACACGTGGTCTGCGGTTGTGAGGCCGGTTGGAAGTACTGCCAAATTCTCTAAAATGACATTGCAGGCGGCTTATAGTAGAGAAATTAACATTCAATACTCTGGCAACAGCTCTGGTGGACATTCCTGCAGTCAGCATGCTAATTGTACGCTCCCTCAAAACTTGGGACATCTGTGGCATTGTGTTGTCTGACAAAACTACACATTTTAGAGTGGCCTTTTATTGTCCCCAGCAGAAGGTGCAACTGTGTAATGATCGTGCTGTTTAATCAGCTTCTTGATATGCCACACCTGTCAGGTTGATGGATTATTTTGGCGAAGGATACATGCTCACTAACAGAGATGTAAACAAATTTGTGCACAGAACGTGAGAGAAATAAGCTTTTTGTGGTCTGGAACATTTCTGGGATCTTGTATTTCAGCTCATGAAACAAGACACCAACACTTTACATGTTGTGTATATATTTTTGTTCGATGTAATTAGCCTGCCTGCCTAATATAATTAGCCTGCCTAATCGATTACATGTCACTTCAAACGGTCTAATATATAAAAGCGTTTTCCATAAATCCCTTTGACCCAGATGTTGTCACTAGTTACCACAGCTCAGTCAAAATTGGCTGTATAGTTAGAAAACAAAAAAGGCATAAGATTAGCTGTGTGGTTAAGGTTAAATTCTGATTTTAAGAAGATAAACTGTAGAAATAGGTGGGGTTTAGCCATAATTATGACTTGGTGGCTGTGGCCTCAGGAACTGACAATTAAACCTTGAACTTGCTAAAATGCTGAAAGCCACTCTGTTCCGGACAACATGACAAAGTAGCAGAAGTCTAACTTTTGTAATTGTTCTATCAGTTTCATATCTACCAACGTCTGTAATGATGTTTACATAATTCAGAATGACTATCTACATTTTACATTTACATTTTAGTCATTTAGCAGATGCTCTTATCCAGAGCGACTTACAGTTAGTGAGTGCATACATTTTTCATACTGGCCCCCCGTGGGAATCGAACCCACAACCCTGGCGCTGCAAGCGCCATGCTCTACCAACTGAGACCCAAAAGCATAATTGCCCTTTTTGGCCATTTGCCTTTTAGCCATGCTCTTTAGCCACCATGCTATTGGCCTTGGCCTTTTCGCCATGCTCTTTAGCCACCATGCTATTGGCCTTGGCCTTTTCGCCATGCTCTTTAGCCACCATGCTATTGGCCTTGGCCTTTTCGCCATGCTCTTTAGCCACCATGCTATTGGCCTTGGCCTTTTCGCCATGCTCTTTAGCCACCATGCTATTGGCCTTGGCCTTTTAGCCCCTGGTGCCATTACCCTTTGCATTTTTACATGACTACCTGTATCCAGAAAGCTCTGCATTAAACCTTTAACGTCTCCTCATTTACCTTTACAAAGTCAACTTGCTACTGCAAAATTTGGTCTTCAGTATACAGTATATTAACCACACTGTAGAAGGATCTATAGATGTTTGTAATACATTTGAACTTGTATCCTTCAAAATGGAATTTGAATAAATAAATAAAAACATATCACAGGTTTAACATATTTTATGTGATGGCCTCGCTCTCACCTCACTAGTCCTGCTGCCAGTAGACCTCCTGCGATAGGACCAGCCCAGTAAACCCAATGGTAGGTCCAGTAGTTGGCCATCACTGCTGGCCCCAGAGCCCTGGCTGGGTTCAGACAGGTCCCAGACACATCCCCTCTGCACCAACACACAGACTGGTTTAGTGTTGCACACACACAAATATCTAAGATAACAGTGATCCCCACCCCCAGAGTACACAGAGATGCTGTTTGGTAAAGGGGACATTATCAGGCACATGATACAAACTTGACAATGTAAATGAAACTGACTATTGGTGAATTCTGAGCATGTTGGTATTGGAATAGTCTAGATTTCATAGGTCAGACTTAAAAATGTAATATTATATTCTTCAATATTGTAAAATTCAATTAATATATTATCTTAGCTCACCCTGCCAGAATGTTGATGATGACAGTAGAGCCTACCAGGAAAGGCACCATGGGACTTTTGCTCTTTGCGTTCACCGCCCCTAGCAACACTACCATGGAAACCAGGCATGTCATGGCGATCTCTCCAAAGATGGCCCCCACCAGCTGGTCCTCTGATTGGAGGATGGTAAACGCCGCGCCGGTGGCATTGGCATAGTTCTCCTTTGATGTCATCATCTGAGGAACAGTATACTTAAGTCAACTGCTGACCTACATATTGCAGGTGCTAAGCACAGCAGGACATCACTTCACATTAGTGACAAATCTATTCATAAAAAGTGCTGGGCCTATACAAATAATTGATTGATTAATTGATTGATTTTCTTAACTTTATAAGCATGTCTTTCCCTAACCTTGTACCCTGGCTCAAAGAGAGCCGGCTGGTGGAAGAGATTATCCTTTCCACTATAGAATTATAATCTGTTCTCCATTTGTACCACTGTAACTGCTCATTAGAGGTTACCGCAGGTGAACATTAATAACTCAACTGATGAACATTAATAACTCAACTGACCTTTGACATGGCAGCTCCCAGCACCCCTCCTATTAACTGGCTGATAAGATATGGGATGACCATGAACAGTTGCATGCCGCCACACAGGTAGATGGCAATGGTGAAGGGAGGATTGAAATGGGATCCACTGCATGAAGAGAAGGATTAAGTTGCATGAAAATAAATGCCTGGACAATGATTTAGTTATTACATTATTTATGTCTATAACAAAACAATGTTCATACATATATTTTATCCAAAATATATTCCAATTTATATTTTGAGAGAACCCAAAATGATCTAGACAGCATACCATTAGCTTGCTGCAACCAGAGATTCAAGTTGCAAGAAAAAGGCATTTGAGGTAAGATCAACCAGGTCAGTACAGGTGAGTCCTACCTGATCTGATCCATGCATGCCACCATGACGGCAACTGCCAGGCCATGGACTAGGGCCGGCTGTACCCTGCCTGCAGACTCAACGTTCTCGATGACCGACACACACCCGATAAAGACGAAGAACATGGTGCCCACCACCTCTGCCAGGCAGGGCTGGATGATGCGCTCAAACATGTTGGGAGGCCGAACCTTGGGAGGTTTCTTGGTGCTACTCATCAGAGTCGAGTCTCCCACATCCAGCTCCACATTCTCTACTCCCATCGTGTCTGTCTGGTCTGACTGGACCTCAAGAGTCTGACTGAGTGTCTGGGATACTAGTGAATGACTTATGACAGTGTCTTGAAATGTATAATCACTGGTGATATTGCCTGACCATAAACCATAAGCACTTTGACCTCATTCTGACAGAGGCTGTTCATATCAGTTCAACAAAGGACCTTCAATTGCTAAATTGGATAAGCTAAGGCGAATAGAGGTTAGAAGTTTATTGATCAAGGTCACTTTATCACTATCTCAAAGATAAATGGGAGGGCATTGACAAGGTTGTCTACTCAAAATGCTTTCTATAGTGACATACACTACATGACCAAAAGTATGTGGACCCCTGCTCGTCTCATTCCAAAATCTTGGGCATTAATATGGATTTGGTCCCCCATTTGCTGCTAAAACAGCCTCCACTCTTCTGGGAAGGCTTTCCACTAGATGTTGGAACATTGGCTGCAAGGATTTGCTTCCATTAAGCCACAAAAGCATTAGTGAGGTCGGGCACTGATGTGGGGCGATTAGGCCTGGCTCGCAGTCAACGTTCCAATTCATCCCAAAGGTGTTCGATGGGGTTGACGTCAGGGCTCTGTGCAGGCCAGTGAAGTTCTTCCACACCGATCTCGACAAACCATTTATGTATGGACCTCGCTTTGTGCACGGGGGCATTGTCCTGCTGAAACAGGAAAGGGCTTTCCCCAAACTGTTGCCACAAAGTTAGAAGCACAGAATAGTCTAGAATGTCATTGTATGCTGTAGCGTTAAGTATTCCCTTCACTGGAACTAAGGGGCCTAGCCCGAACCATAAAAAACAGCCCCAGACCATTATTCCTCCTCCACCAAACCTTACTGTTGGCACTATGCATTGTTGCTCCTTGACATTTCCACTTCACAATATATATACACACATATATGTATATACACACACACACACACACACACACACATATACATATATACACACACAGATATATATATATATATATATACACACACACACATATATACAGTGAGGGAAAAAAGTATTTGATCCCCTGCTGATTTTGTACGTTTGCCAACTGACAAAGACATGATCAGTCTATAATTGTAATGGTAGGTTTATTTGAACAGTGAGAGACAGACTAACAACAACAAAATCCATAAAAATGCATGTCGAAAAAGTTATAAATTGATTTGCATTTTAATGAGGGAAATAAGTATTTGGCCCCTCTGCAAAACATGACTTAGTACTTGGTGGCAAAACCCTTGTTGGCAATCACAGAGGTCAGACGTTTCTTGTAGTTGGCCACCAGGTTTACACACATCTCAGGAGGGATTTTGTCTCACTCCTCTTTACAGATCTTCTCCAAGTCATTAAGGTTTCGAGGCTGACATTTGGCAACTCGAACCTTCTGCTCCCTCCACAGATTTTCTATGGGATTAAGGTATGGAGACTGGCTAGGCCACTCCAGGACCTTAATGTGCTGCTTCTTGAGCCACTCCTTTGTTGCCTTGGCCGCGTGTTTTGGGTCATTGTCATGCTGGAATACCCATCCACAACCCATTTTCAATGCCCTGGCTGAGGGAAGGAGGTTCTCACCCAAGATTTGACGGTACATGGCCCCGTCCATCGTCCCTTTGATGGGGTGAAGTTCTCCTCTGAATCATTCAGATGTTCATTGGCAAACTTTAGACGGCCCTGTATATGTGCTTTCTTGAGCAGGTGGACCTTGCGGGCGCTGCAGGATTTCAGTCCTTCACGGCGTATTGTGTTACCAATTGTTTTCTTGGTGACTATGGTCCCAGCTGCCTTGAGATCATTGACAAGATCCTCCCGTGTAGTTCTGGGCTGATTCCTCACCGTTCTCATGATCATTGCAACTCCACGAGGTGAGATCTTGCATGGAGCCCCAGGCCGAGGGAGATTGACAGATCTTTTGTGTTTCTTCCATTTGCGAATAATCGCACCAACTGTTGTCACCTTCTCACCAAGCTGCTTGGTGATGGTCTTGTAGCCCATTCCAGCCTTGTGTAGGTCTACAATCTTGTCCCTGACATCCTTGGAGAGCTCTTTGGTCTTGGCCATGGTGGAGCGTTTGGAATCTGATTGATTGATTGCTTCTGTGGACAGGTGTCTTTTATACAGGTAACAAACTGAGATTAGGAGCACTCCCTTTAAGAGTGTGCTCCTAATCTCAGCTCGTTACCTGTATAAAAGACACCTGGGAGCCAGAAATCCTTCTGATTGAGAGGGGGTCAAATACTTATTTCCCTCATTAAAATGCAAATCAATTTATAACATTTTTGACATGCGTTTTTCTGAATTGTTTTGTTGTTATTCTGTCTCTCACTGTTCAAATAAACCTACCATTAAAATGATAGACTGATCATTTCTTTGTCAGTGGGCAAACGTTCAAAATCAGCAAGGGATCAAATACTTTTTTCCCTCACTGTATATACACACACACACACACACACACACACACACACACACACACACTATATATATATATATATATATACACACACACACATAATATAATAATAATAAGCCATTTCGCATATGCTTTTATCCAAAGCGACTTACAGTCATGTGTGCATACATTTTTACGTATGGGTGGTCCCAGGGATCGAACCCACTACCCCGGCGTTACAAGCGCCATGCTCTACCAATTGAGCTACAGAGGACCACATACATACATACATACATACATACATACATACATACATACATACATACATACATACATACATACACACACACATATATACAGTATATACACACATACAGTGAGGGAAAAAAGTATTTGATCCCCTGCTGATTTTGTACATTTGCCCACTGACAAAGAAATGATCAGTCTATAATTTTAATGGTAGGTTTATTTGAACAGTGAGAGACAGAATAACAACAAAAAACCCAGAAAAACGCATGTCAAAAATGTTATAAATTGATTCGCATTTTAATGAGGGAAATAAGTATTTGACCCCCTCTCAAATCAGAAAGATTTCTGGCTCCCAGGTGTCTTTTATTTACATTTACATTTTAGTCATTTAGCAGACGCTCTTATCCAGAGCGACTTACAGTTAGTGAGTGCATACATTTTCATACTGGCCCCCGTGGGAATCGAACCCACAACCCTGGCGTTGCAAGCGCCATGCGCTACCAACTGAGCTACACAGGGCCTATACAAATGTAAATGTGATATTTTATTTATTTTATTTTTAATACATAAAATTAAAAAATACAAATAAAAAAAACTGTTTTTGCTTCGTCATTATGGATATTGTGTGTAGATTGATGAGGGGGAAAAAACAATTGAATTCATTTTAGAATAAGGCGGTAATGTAACAAAATTTGGAAAAAGTCAAGGGGACTGAAATAATTCCAAATACACTGTATTTAACCTTCTTCAGCTTTGCCAGAGTTTCATTTCACATTAAAATGGGCACATTCAGGAAAAGCATAATAAAACAAAACAAATACCATAATATTGTTTACTCAAAAGAAAAAGACTGTACTCAAGAATATGATTTTTGAATAGATAAGTATTGCTTTCTCATTAAGCCATTTCATTGAATTAAAGGTTATCCCGTTTATTGTTGAAACCTTTTCAACGCTCCACCTCCTCTCGTTACACAGTTCCTAATCGTTTTCCACAGCTTTCATGGCATAACTATTTAATTACTCTCATTCAATACCGAAGAGAAATAGCGGCTTTAGGACCCGACGGGATGTCTCCATCGGAATCATTAGAGTGCAAAGGGTGTCTGGTCAGAATGCTACAGGAAGTGATGCTGAGATAGCACTAAGATGGGAGGTTTTCGTGTAAAGATGCACTATGCAGAAATCAATCTGCCATTTCCTGGTTGCTAAAATATTAATAGTTCGCCTAATTTCAGTTTATGTGACAAAACTAGCAAGTATAGTGTAGAGAATCAGTGTACCATCTAAACCGCAGTGAAATATATTTTCCATAACCAAAAAATATTGTATTTTCAGGTGGTGTACAAAACAGAAAGTAAAAGAAGCTAAAAGAAACTTAAGCAAGGGAAGCATGGAAATAGCGCACATAGAACACATCTACCGCTTCTTAGGGTGTGCTCGTATATTCACTCTGGAGTGCCAGAGTGTGCTCTGGGCGTTCGTAAACTCAGAGCGTTGTCAGATTGTCCGTTGGTAAATTCAGTGAGTTGTCAGACTGTCCAATCATAAATTCAGAGCACACACTGGACACTGGCTGAGGAGTAGGGTTGTAGGGTTGATCCGAGCATTCTGACCTCACAACAGCAGTCAAGCACCCAAGCTAACTGGCTAACGTTGGCTAGCTACTTCAAGACACAAATAAGAGAACACCTCACTAGCAGAGCTGGTTAGGCTGTTTTCATGTTATCTAGAGCGTTGGTGACTGTAACTGTGCTGCTGGCAACAATAAAATTACATTTTCTTTGCCGACTTTTACTGAGACCTGTCATATAGGCGATATGCACAGGCGAGCATGACGTATTTCTGGTTAAATCTCAGGATGGATGTAAACTTCCGGTTATCTGTAGAATGCTGTGCTATCGTATGCTAGCATTGAATGCTTGTCGTCAAAAACTTCCGAAACTGTTAATTTTCGTCGTTGTTGTTGTTTATCTTAATGTTTATGTTAATGTTTTTACTTGTAATACTTCGTCTTTACTTATAGCACAATGACGTGTAAACGTATGAAAGTGTCCTTTCAAAAACGGGATGACAGCTCTTCCAGCCATCACTGCTGTGTGCCGCAATGTACAGTGTCTGCCAGATGCAATTCTTCTGTTAGTTTTTTTACTTTTCCCAAAGACAGTGAATTACATAAACGGTGGGTGATTAACATTCGACGAGTCAACTTTCTTACAACAAACACACGAGTCTGCAGCCGACACTTTCTAAGTGAAGATGTAATAGAGCCTCCAACTCCAGCTGGGCGCAGATCTCTGAAGAAGGGAGCTGTTCCAGTGCTGTTTCAATGGAACAATTTCAGTCTTCCAGCCCCACGGCCCGGAGTTTGAGAAAGGACCGAGTGTCCCAACACAGAAACTATGAA